TTCCTAGGATACAAAAAATGTGATGTATAAAAGAAAAAAAGTGATAAATGAGATTCCATCAAAATTTAGAACTTTAAATGACATCGTTAAAATGAAAAGTAGTCCTTAAACAGACCATATTTACAATGCATATAACCTATGACCAGAATATATAAAGAACACTTACAGTGTTGTGTCCAGATCACGAAGTCCCCAAAGACCACCAAGGAGCCGATTCCGATGTAAACACACGAGGGTTGTTTATTCAAGCTCGAGCAGGGGCACTCAACCGTCACCAATGCAGCGGATCAGGATTGAGAGCCCCAAATTCCAAATCAGCAGGGTTTTTATTGTGGCTACTGCAAGGTTTGGGGATGTTCCATTTAGCAGTTACATGATTGGTTGATATTTAGCAAGCATGGGGGTTGAGGGGTGGCTACATGTAGAGTTTATGGGAAAAAGGAACAATCAGCACATTGACAGAATGTTCTATAGATAATGGGCCCGGGAGCATCTGTTTTCTGGGCAGACAGAGGATTGAGTTAGGAGCTGTGTCTCTTTTTTAATCTGTTGTCCCACAGCAAGGACATTTTATCATTAGTTTATGGGCACAAAGGAGACTAGGGGAATAGTTGACTTCAGTGAAGTGGAATTTATGTCAAGGCCACTTTACTGTCTTATATTTAAGGTGGAGTCAAACTTTAAAATGGAGTTAGTTAAGTCTCACAACAGCTCATTAATAGATAACCCAATTAAAAAGTAGACCCAAAAAGATGATAAATAGCCAGTACAGCACAAGAAAAGGTGTGGAACACTAGAATCAGAAAAATACTAATCAGTACAATAACAAGATTGAGTTATACACTCATTAGGAAGATGAAGTTAAAAGTTTTAAAAGCCTTGTCATGACTTTTTCTTTTTGTTGGTTTCTCCCTCTTTGTGTTTAATTTGTCATGCCCAACGAATTCATTCTGCTGGGCTTCCTGGGTTTATGATCCACATTGTCTTTTCCTAGGATATTGTCTAAAATTTTTTGGAGTGCTGATTTGCTATTCATGAAGTTCCTGAGGTGCTCTTTATCATGAAAGTATCTTATTTCTCCATCAATTTTGAAAGATAGTTTTGTAGGGCACATCAATCTGGGTTGGAGGCTGTTTTCCTTTAGGGCTTGAAATACTTCACTCCAAGCTCTTCTTGCCTTGAGGGTTTGTGTTGAGAAGTCTGCTGTGATTCTGGAGGGCTTTCCTTTGTACGTGATTTGTTTCTTTTCTCTCACTACTTGCAGAATTTTGTTCTTCTGTTGGGTTTCTGGAATCCTAACAATTATATGCGTATGTGTAGACTTTTTTTGATCAAGGCTAGTTGGAGTCCTATATGCCTCACTTATCTGTATGTCAAGTTCTTTTCCCCTGCTTGGGAAGTTTCTTCCATCACTTCTCTTAACAGTTTTATTATGTCATCTGCACTCTCTCCTGTTTCTTCATTGACTCCAATCAGTCTTGTCATTCTTCTTTCCGTCATCTAGCAGCTGCTGGATTGGTTTCTCGTGGTCCCTTAAAATTTTAAAGCAATTTTTCTTTTCCTCCTCACTAATTGCAATCTTTTCTTCTATATCTGAAATTCTGTCCTCACATTGGTTCATTCTGCTGTGTAGACTTTCAATGGAGTTTTTAATCTCCTGGAAATCTGTTTGCATCTGTTTTATGGATTCCATTTGTTTCCTATGTTGGGATTCTGTCATGTTCCTCAGATCCTCTATTTTTTATCTGTGTCCTCTCTAGATTTATTAATCATGTCTTGCAACATGAGCACAATCTTTGCTGTTATCTGAGTAATTATTTCTGATTTCATTTTTCCCAGCTCCTCTTTTGTTGCCAGTTCAGGAAGTCCAGGTGGTTGAGTATCAGATTATTCCTTCTCATTTCCCTTTGGGGTTGCTGTAGGTGATCTGGAAGTCTGTTTTTGAGGCTTGTTTACGTGTCTTCTCATTTCCACGGTGTGTGTGGGGGGTGCTGTGGCTAGCGCCCACAAGGCTCACCTCCTCTGCCCTGGGAACAGTGGAATGGTGGCCGGGGAGCCTCCTCCTGGGCGCTGGGATTGGCTCATCTCCTCTGCCCTGGAAGGGGTGGAATGGCTGCTGGACTAATTTATGTAATTTTTTAATTCAAGTTCACTGATTCTTTCCTCTGCTCCTCTTCTGCTGTTCTGTCTATTCAGTGACTTATTTGTTTTTTCCAATTATTTTTTTTAACTTCTAAATTTTCTATTTGACTCTTTATATCTTCGCTTTCTTTTCTGTGACTTTGTTTTTTTCAGTTATTTTAAGTGTGTTTGGGATTTTGTTTTCAAGCATGTTTATAATGGCTTCTTTAACATGATCCTGCTAGCTTAAACCCTTGGTGTTACATACATGACTGTCCCATTAGATAGTTTGTACCACTTGTGGTACAAATGGATCTAAGCACTATTATCAGTCTCTTTATTAATAAAATTAACAAAAAGCTACCCAATAGGATAGTCATTCATGTATCACCAGTGGTTCAAGCCACCTGGCAGCAGACATACAAACTGTGGCCCCATCTGGAATGTGTTAAGGTTGTTTGTAGGTAATTCTGACATCTGTGTCATCTCAGTTTGTTGTCTGTTGGGTTATTATTATTCATCTCCATTGAAATTTTGCTTGCTCTTAGTATGATGTGATTTTAGGTTGAATCTGGATATTTTGGATAAAACTATGGATCTTATTTAAATCTTGTTTTAGCTCACCTGGGAGAAGCACCTTGTTTCTGCCAGGACATATGTGAGTTCAGGTCCCTTGCTGGCCCATGCTGGCTGGGAAGGAGGGGGATAATTTGTTACTGCTCCTCACATGCCCATAACTGACACAGTGAGGATGAATTTTCTGACTCTCCACTCTTCCTTCTCTCTGCCAACTTAGCCACAGAGAGGAAAGCCGCATGAAGAGGAAATCCAGATACTGCCGTCAGCCTTTGCTATGGGAGTAGGGCTGCAGCTTTTCGTATAGTGTTTGGCCAGATAATAGTAGTTACTGTCTAAAAGTTCTCTCCTTTGCTAGGCTACACTTTTCTTCACCCTTGGCTGAAATGAGCAGATATTTGTTGAAACTGTCTACTACCATTGGCATTTCTGGACTGCCAAATTTTCTAGGACCCAGTCAGAGATACACAAGACCAAATTTAAAAAAAAATCTCCAGAGAACTTGCATCATGTTGCTTATTGGGTCCTGAAGCCACTAGCTAGCTTCCCTTTTCCCTCTGTCTTTCAGAATTTTTGTTTGTTTCATATATTGTGCAGAATTTTTAGTTGCATTTAGTGGGATAGATAGGAAGAGGAAGATGTGCCTGTCCCATCTTGTCCAAAAAATGAAATCCCAGTTATCCAATTACCCTTTCTTTCTTGGTTTGGTGTTTGTTTGTTTGTTTGTTTGTTTGTTTGTTTTTGCCCAGGCTGAGTTTGTAGGCTGCAGTGCTGTTTCTCCCTCAGCCTCTCAGGTTGCTTGGATTACAAATGCACAGCACAGGCTGTACCTGGCTCCCATTTTTTTTTTTCTAACTTGTCATTTACATGTAGAAAACCTATTTTTTTGTTGTTATTTATGCTCTAAGTAATTTAGTGAATTCTTACTGTTTATATATTGGTTCTCGATAGGTTTTCTTGAGTCATCATGCCACTGCCTCATACTTCATGCACTACACTACAGGCTGTTTTACTTATTTGGGGGGACCTTTTCAAACATTTTTTTCTTTTGTGGTGCTGGGAATAGAATCCAGGGCCTCAAATGCTAGGCAGGTGCTCTACCACTGAGCTACACCCTACCCCTTAAGAAAGAATCTTTTTATTCATTGTCTGTCTCTTCTCATTGTGAATAGATTTTGGTGCTCTTACACATTCTTATCCTTTCTCTGTTATGTGATTTTTTTTTTTTGGTACTGGGTATCGAACTTAGGACCTTGCACTTGTGAGACAGGCGGCAGAACCACTGAGCTAAATCCCTGGCTCTTACCCTTTTTCTGTATATTGTCTTATGGTAGACATTTTAGCTTTTAAGCTACATATGATTTTTCCCTTCCTTTTCCTTATTTTGTTGATATACATTATATTAACTATGAGGTGAATGGAAACTTATTATTGAAACTCTATTTCTGTTGGAGAAATCAGTCACAGTCATGTGTTGTAGCTTAACATGTTCATGATGGGGCTGTAATTGCTATGTCTCACTGCTGGGTGGCTTAAATCACTGATGGTGTATATACATGACTGTTCCATCAGGCAGCTTTTTATTAATTTGACTAGTAAAATGACTGATAAAAGTGATTAGATCCATTTGTACCACCAGTGGTATAAGCCAGTGGAAATGTGTTAAAACACTGCTTGTATTGAACAAGGGTGAACCACATCCATTGGAAAGTCTTAAACTCATAGAGCAGAGGAAACTCCGGGGCTCACTAGCGCTCTCAACTGTGCTGTCAAGGCCCCAGAGGCTTAGTAAAAAGAGGCTGCCTGAGGTGTCCCATGAGAATTTTTCCCTCCCTGGTGAGGGAATGTGGGAACACCTGTTGATATCTGCAAGCTCTTTTCTACTCTGAACTCCTCACATATTCTCTTCCTTCTACCCAGAATCCTCACCTCTGCATTATATCTCAGCTTAAATATCATCTCCCTGAGAGATATTCTGACCTCCAGGATCTCACCCCCACTCATGTATACATTGTGTCCTGTCATGTCCCCATTCTCCATAGTACTTGTCACAGTTTGAAATAACCTTTCTTATTTGTTTCTGTTTACTTGAATATTATCTCTCTTCCCAAAAATGTCAGCTGCATACATGTAATAGTGCTTACAAGACCTTGCGGTGGGGAGGGGGGGCAATGCTCCTCAAAAGACTGCACATGCTCTGATCAGATGCAGGACACAGAAATTTACACGATTGGCCTACAGTGGCCACCCACAGAGTCCAATGTAGAAGAGTGCAAAAGATCTGGATCCAAAGGATCCAGCCAAAGGCCTGGTGCCCACAACAGTGTCCTGTATGAGTCTATCTGTGCTAGGAGGTCAAAGGGTCAGTGCAGAAAGAGACATGACTGAATTCTCATCTGCTAGAATATGTCACATAGTAGGTGCTTAGTAACACTTGTAGGGTGAATAGATGAATGTGGAAGTCTTATTGAGGATGGTCACATGCCAAGGTAGCCCTTGCTTCTAGGAAAGTCATGCAGTGTTCTTGATTCTATTTTTTTCCAGAAATTAATTCCAAGTCAGCCCGAGTCCTGCTCTTTCTGGTGGTCCCAGGCCACCTGATTTTCTTCTATATGATCTACCTGGTGGAAGGTCAGTCGGTGACCAACAGCAAGACCTTTATGTTGCTGTATCTGCTAGCAGGCCTGATCCAGGTAAGGAAGACTGCAGCAGCAAAGGGGCAGCCTTCATTGGGTCACTCGGCTGGCAAGCATTGTCTCCTATCCTAGAGGAGGTGGAAGAGGCTGGGAAAGGGGTTCCCCTTTTCCAGAGACCCAGTCAACTTGTTCAAACCATGTGGCCTGGTCTAGACACAGAGGGCATAGCATACACTACATACCTCATCCAACGTGCTGTATGTACAATGGACTGCACACTTCACAGTGTACCTGGTCTACTGCACTCTGTGTGCCCCTCACTCATCAGAGCAGCTGCCTGAGGATGCAGTGTGTTCCTGTGGAGCAGGCTGATGAGTGGTCCAGTGATCCATGGCATCACAGAGGGTGGGTGGGCAGGGACAACGCTCCTGCCGGAATGCCACTAAAAGGCACACATAGTCTTTGTTCAAGGCTAGATGGTGATGAGGTTGGTGGTGAAGGAGATTAAACTAGCACCTGCTTCACAGTGGCATTCAGCAGATTGCTAGGACTCCAACTGGGTGATGTCCCCAGGGGCCTGGGGCTTCTGCAGGGAGGTCTCTGGGCACTGATGGGCAATTCTTTGAAGGTGTCACTAGTACCAGGGACTGGGCATTTTCTAACCTCCCCAAGTTTATGGCATTTGCAATTTTAGCATGATCCTGACCCCGAAAGGTAGGCTTGGGCAAGTCCAAGCAAATGTCCTGAGTAGCTATAGCTAATAGTTCCAGTTAGTGAGAAAGGAAACTGGATGAAGTTCCGAGGTGCCATTGGACCCAACCAAGACTGTGTGGACCTCCCTTGACAGCTTCAGGAATGGCTCACTGACCAAAGCTCTAGGGAAGAGGGGCTCAAGCAAATACCAAGTCTCAGCAAGGTCCTAGGAGTGGAGCCTGGTAAAACAGAGGGTGTCTCAGTGGGTGATTGGCAGCAGGTCTCTGGCACTTTGGGAGGCTAGGAAAGGGACCTTTCTTAGTCCATTTTGTGATGCCGAGTAACTTTCCAAGAAAAGAGTTCTCATAGTTCTTGTGGCTGGCTGAAGTATCAAAACAGTATGGTACTGGCATTTGATGAGGGCCCCTGGCTATGACATGTTATGGAGAAGAAGTGAACAAGGAACCAGCTGTGTTCTGAAAGGGCACAAGTGTGAGTGAGGAAGCAAGAGAGCAGGGAGGGGCCAGGCCCATTTTATAACAGCCCACTAATCCAGTCCCAGGGGACCCAACCCACTCCCTCCAGACAGTTCTAATCCATTCATGACCTAATCTTCCACTAGGCCCTACCTCTTAAAGATTCTACCACATCAAGTGCCACACTGGGGGCCAAGTTTCTAGCACATGTCCAAGCCAAAGCAGACCCCAAGAGAAGCTTCAGGAAGGAGACTGGCTGGGGCTGAGGTGTCTGCTCTGGTGTCTGCCCTAGAAACTCAGTTGGTGTTTCTTGGCTCTAATTAGCCTACTGACTTGGTCTTTTGTGTCTTCTTGCTCTTATGACAGGTAATAATTTTGCTGTACCTGGCAGAAGTGATGGTTCGGTCGACCTGGCACCAGGCCCTGGATCCTGACAACCACTGCATTCCATACCTTACTGGGCTGGGGGACCTGCTAGGAACTGGCCTCCTGGCGCTCTGCTTCCTTATCAACTGGGTACTGAGGGGCAAAGCAGAGCTGGATGGCATCTCAGAACTGGCCCCTGGACCTCCGTGACTGATCCCAGCAGCTCCTGTGGCTCATAATTGTCCCTCACAACAGGGTACAGAATGCGGTCTCTCCCTTGCTGGTCCTCAGGATGGTTGACAGCCTGCCTCTGCATTGGCCTCTGCAGTGGCTAAACACACTCACATAAACCTTGACTTGGGTTGGTAGCTGAGCCCTGAGATCAGGAGCCTTGTTTGTGAGTGTATGAATGTGTGTTTGCGCATGTGTAAGCAAAGCAGAGTGTTCTGGCCTGAAGACAGCTCAGGAAAAGGTGAGTCTAGTGTGCTTTGGCAGGTGTGCATGCCTTGGTTCATGCCTGTGCAGCCAAGATTCAGATAGAGCAAGAGGGAGCTCCTTTGTGTCCCCAAGACTCAGGATTACACTGTAGGCTTAACTGCTGTCTTCACTAGGTTCCAGCTCGATGGGCCACACTCCTGGTGGCCGTACAAATGTGTGTACCCTCTGTGAGCCAGGCTTTACATTCCTCTCCTTTGCTCTCAGCATTTAAGTTTGTTGCTGCTTTCTTTTTATTTGCCTTTTTTTTTTTAAAGCACAACCTTCTATTTAGGTTTCAGTGATCAGAGAAGTGTAAAATAAAACATGATATTGTACTTGGCCTTTTGCATCCTTAAACATATTTAATACAACCAGGAGACTTGGGACCTCCAAGAAAAAACCCTGGCATTTCTGTAGTGTGGTATTTGTCAATCTGTGGTCTCCAGCCTAGAAGCATTGACATCACTAGAAAATTTGTAAAAGTGCAAGTTATTAACCCTACTCCACCCCAAGATATGCCAACTCTCAGGTCATTCTCATGCACACTCTGGAGAATCACTGCTCCAGAACTTTGTCCTTTTCTATGTATTATTTATTTCTAATTGACACATAGTATTTGTACATATTTATGAGGAACAGTATGATTTTGGTTCATGTCATCCTTTTTTTTAAAAAAAGTATGCTTATTTCCTATTACTTATTAACACCTGGTAACAACTTTAGCCATGGTTTGGCCTGAGGATTATTATCTTCTTATGGCAAAACAGGCATCTGTTCATTCAGATATCTTAATTCTCCCAAGGCCTTATGGCTGGTGAATGGTGGATTTAAACCTAGGCAGTCTAACTTAGACCCAACCAAGCTATGTGTGTAGTAAAGGGGTTTGATCAAGAAGGGAAAGAGTTTTCATCTGAAGCTGAGATTCAGGCATGAGTAGGAGGAAATCAAGTATTACTTGAGGAGGCCTAGGGAGAGGGAGAAGGTGGAAATTACAGCATTTAAGGAGATGGACTTTATTATAGGTAAGGGCGAGGTAGAGCAGTGGGCCCAGGGATGAAGCTTGAGTTCCTGAAACATTTACTGACCAGTTAGAAGAGATTGATCCTGCAATGGGAAGGCAGAGAAGAGATTATGAAAAAAGCAAAGAACCAGAAGAGTATTATGTTCTGGAGACCAAAGAGGAAGGGTTTATGGAAAGAGAATTATTGAGATCTAAGCTACTGAGGTCATAAGGATGTTTGTTGAATTAAGGACAAGGGGTTCCTTGCTGAAAACTATTGAGGAAGACTTATAGACCAAGAGGCATATTAGGGAGGGATGAGCCATGAGCTAGACATTATAAAATGGAAAGAAGTATTTTAGTATGTTTGACCCTGCAAGGAAGGAGAGAACTTGGGTAGTATAAGGAATTGTGTCAGAACTGAGACTGTCACTTTCTGTTCTACCATGAAGGTTTGAGACCCACCCATTGATTTTTTCAGTGGCCTCCTAACCACAAAATACAAGAATTTGGTTGACAAGGTTTCCTTGATTTCTCTTTGATTTTGATCTTTTATCCCTGACACTTGGAATCTCTCATACATAGATCTTGTAGGAAGTGACACAGTTGCTAGAAACTGAATCTGTTTTCTGAAGCCAAAGGCAGACTATCAGGAGAAGCTTTCAGGGACTCTTTCCTAATATAGAAATTTCTGCCTGATGTTTTCTATTGTTCAGGAAAACTGGTTCTAAAATAGTGTTAGATGGGTCTGGGCAAGAGTTAGGGCTAAAAATAAAGTAGGGATGGGGATTAAAATCCCGAGGGTTGGATCCTGCTGCAGGAATAAAGTCAACTTCTGGGATGAATTCAGCTAGAGCCGAGGTCATGGGTCAATACATCTGTAAGACTGAGGGCACCTGCAGGTGAATCTAGTTCCTTGGTTGAGAAAATCATTCTGCTAGCATGGGATCAACTTCTGTGGCAGGCTGAGGTCAGTATTGGGCATGAATTTTTATTTGAGGAAAAGTAATCACGAGTATCGATACAGCTTTAACTTTGAAATCATCAAGGATGAATCTGTGTGCAGATTTGAGATATCAGCTGTGCTGATGAGGTTAGCAGAATTATCCCTGATGCAAGGCTGAAGCCAGCACATGGGATGAATTTTTCTATCTGGGTAAGGTAATCACACATATGCAGCTAAAAGTACTGAGAGCCTCATCGGGAAGGAATCCATAGATCATAAGGATGAATATTACAGTAGGATTGAAATCAGTATCTGGTTGAATCCAACTGCAGTTATCAGGATTAAAACTACAACTAACTGTGAGGTAATCATCAAGTGTAAACCCAGCTCTGGGTCTGGGTACCTCATCTGAGATGAATCTTGACTGAAGTCAATGTGTGGTGGAGCTCATAGTTTGGCTTTTAGGAGTAAGGGATAGGAAGTGGATCTGAACCCAGATTATCAAGGAAGATAAACTGAAGGTTAAGTTTGAACTCAAGATTCAATTTATTAGACATCACTAACAACTTGCTCTGGATGGTAGGGCCAAGTAAAAGTTCTGAATCAAGGTGAAAGTCGAGGTGAGGTAGGAGATTAGGGTGAGGTAAACTAGACAACCAACCAGGAAAAATATTTCAGCAGTCATAAAACTCATGGCTAACCAGTTGAGCAAGATGTTTCCTAAAAAAGAGAAGGCATGTGTAGAACATGGAACCTAAGATAACTGCAAGTTTACAGCTCCTCAGTACTGTTCACAGGACTAATCAGAAAATGCTATTCTTAATCCCTTGCTTACATATAGGTACAATCAATCAAAAGATACTGTTCCTCATGGATCCTTCATTTGTATTTCACAAAAAGGACTGTAAGTTTTTCAGTTTGTAAAGTAGCCAGGCCTGATGCCACTCATCTGTAATCCCAGCACTCAGGAGGCTGAGGCAGGAGCATTTAAGGCCAGGCTGAACTACATAGTGAGACTATCTTAAAAAAACAAAACAAAACCAGGTCAGGGATTTAGCTCAGTGGCACCATGCCTGCCTTGAAAGCCCAAGGTCCTGAGTTCCATCCTGGTACCAAAACAAAACAAAATAAACAAAACCAGAAATTGTTAAATAGAAGACATCTCAAGATTCAACAGAGTTAGGGCCCTTATAACTAATCTTTTATCTCGCACTATTTGAAACATTTGACTTGAAAAGGATGGAAGCAACCTGACTCCACTGCACACCATCAAGAAGGACTTCTATGGGGAGGAAGGAGGCACAGATGCTGAAATGGTCAGTGGAAGACTCGGGCCCAGCCCCAAGGCAATTTCCTGCCCACCCAGAAGCAGTTACAGGGAAAGCATTCCATCTGGAGAATGTTTCCTTCTTTCTACTTCAAACCTGCCTGTAGGGACAACCCCATTGCCATATCCCACACACCCAGGCCTGAGTGTGGTTTCAAAGGTTATAATCCTAGCCTCTCTCTTCCCACCTAGCAAGAGTCTTGTTTTGCCCTGAGATGCTTCCAGGTCAGTCCCTCATATGGGTCCTGGCTCCAAGTCCATTTCTGGCTAAAATGGCTCAGAGGTCCATCTCACCTTGGTTCCTGTAGTGGAGGCTACCTGCTGCCTAGTTTTCCTTTTTTATTCAGTACTGGGACTGAGCCCATGTCCTTAGTCTGAGCTATGCAGCTGCATCTCCAGACCTTTTTATTTTTTGATACAAAAGTCTCAATAAAGTCTCTGTGTAGCATTGGCTTACGTCTTCCTTTTTAAAACCCTCCTTGTCTTCTCTCTCCACTCCATACCCTTGCAAGTCCCCACTGTAGAAGTGGATTCTCACCCTGTGTCCCCAATCTCCCCCTCAGGGAAGGCGATCTTGGGAGATGAGTCTGGTCCTGGGATCCTGCAGCCCAGACTCATCTCTGGAGATGCCCTATCCTTGGCCCCCTGGGCCTGCCATTCTCTAAGCCTTGCTTGTCAGTCACCATCTCGGGGAGGTCCCTGACCCCAGGCTGGGGGAAGTGACACACCTTTGCTGTGACACCTCAAGTTCTGCCCAAATCCCAACTCACCTAGTGTGCCTGCCAGGGTCTGTTTCATTTTTGATGCTTCACTGGAAAGTGTGTCCTTCCTGGACAGTGGATATTTTTATGTGAATGTTGAGATGAGCTGTACAAAGAGGAGAAAAGAGACAGAGAAACTCAGCAAGGGAGAGATAAGAAGGTAAAATCAAAGGTGAAGGGATGGTTGCAATAGATTTACAATAGTTCAATAAAAATGTGAAAGAGAATGGCCTGGGAAAGAAGTAGAGAAAAAATTTTAAAAGGGGGAGGTCAGCAGAGAGGTAGAGGAAGGCAGAAAAAAGAGGTGGCCTTGACCAGAAGTAGTACTACCAGGAACAAAGATAACTAAAAACCCATTAGATGCTGATGGTTAATGCAATCTTGCTGGCAATTAAGTTTCAAAAAAGAAATTTTGAGGACATTCAGACTACAGCAACTATAATCTTATTTTTCAGTGAAGATCAGTAACAAAAGTTTGCATGGGGCTTGAGGATTTAGGTCAGTGGCATTGTGCCTGCCTAGCAAGCTCAAGGTTTCCATCCCTGATACCAAAAAAAAAAAAAAAGCTTAGATGGGCCTAGCTGAAATTTACATTCTTTTTACCCTGAACCAGACATAATTTCTTTTCCTGGTGCTCAGGATTGAACCTAGGGCCTTGTGCATTGGGCAAGTATAGTCCCATAGGACTGCTTTTTTTTTTTTTTTTTGTTTTCTTGGTACATTTTAGGTATACAATTCATGTACATTTATCATTGGGTGTTTGTAACTGTACATGATGTAGCTTGGTTCTTATTTTTTTCCCCATTACCTGTGCGCCCTTCACCCCCTCCACCCTTCCCTATTTACATAGATTTCATTTTCATTTTTTTTCTTTTCTCATAGTTTTTCCTTT